CCGTTCGAGTACGTTCTTTCTTTGGTTCGACCGCCAATATTGGTATTGTGCAATATCGACTTTAGACGAAGCATTGTATCTTGGGAGACAGACGTCCATAGAGGGCGAAATCTGTCTTAAGGAGATTTGCCTTGGCATACCTCGCTTCATCTTCTACTTTTATTTTTTATTATTTTTCTTTGTTATTTTGATTGCGGTAGTCGAATTTCCGACAACAGTGAGTAATACTCGTGAGTCTTTATAATATGTATGGAAAAGTAATCTGTGTCATCATTCATTCATTATTCAACGCGGGTCGAAATTCAATAGTCCTAAACATAGAGATGCAGGCCAACATTAGGTGGCGATGGATTGGGAGTCCAGACATTTGAGAAGGAAGGTGACGATTGTTCAGACAAGTTAATTTGCCTCGGAGGCCTCCATCGACAAGGTGTTGGGCCATGTTCTCAATGACTTGGAACTTACAAATAATCAAGATGGTGGCATGTTATTTCGCCATCTCAGAGACATTAATCGATGAGGCAATGAGATGTTCCTTCATTACTTCGAAAAGTGATGGCCTGACATTTTGCTTAACTGATAGCCACAGAAAGAAAAATTGTTATGTCCATCAGTCCATGTCTTCATCTCCTTCTCCTTCTGATACAAGATATCATTGTACGTGAATACTAATTGTGCGAGCATAACGGCAGTTTTCCGCGGAGGCCTCTACAGAGAGTGTCCAATTGCAATGATTTTGTTTAGTTTATCGTCAGAATAAACTACATACTGGAAAAAGAGACCAAACCTGATCAACCTGGTGGTGATGATGACGAGGAATTACTAGACAGGAGGCCTCACAGCTTCTTTTCCCCTCGATTATTCGTTCATAGCATTGAAGATTTTTATGAAACGTTTGAGAATCATAGGTGTGCCATGATGTGTGAGGGAGATTGGTTTGCGATAACATCAATACCAGACAAGCCAAAACTATTATTGCTGCTAATCTATTCTATCTATTTCTCAGAAATATTCTGTTTGTGAGAATTTAAAGATTCTGCACGAGCGACTTTCACAATCCATAGGTGTTATGCTTAGTCCAAAAGTTGGGCATGTTATAGAAGCAACAATTATATCGACGTTAGATATGGACAAAGGTAAAGTACGATGGAATTATTCCCCATGTACACGGGAATAATTCACAAGGACTCACCATGTCACTCATATGGTGGGGCCCACCATGTATTAAAAAAAGTATGCGTGTGTCCCACCTGTACGTGAAGCAGGGTTCAATACAA